GGTTTTCTCCGCCACCTCCTCCATTCCTGTAAGAAACCACTTCTTGAAGACCCTCATTCTGTCGGCCCTTGGCTTCGTCTGGGCAGCTCTGTTGACGTCCACGACGTCGAAAATTGACTTTACCAAAGCCTTGCGGAACTGATCGCACCATAAGATTGCCGCATGATCCATGCTCGTCCATACGTTTGGGATGCTCGTAGTGAACACGGTAAAGCCATGCGTATCGGGGACAAGTGATTCGACGCTGGCGTAATCCGATGGCACAACGGTATCCAAACCACCGCCCGCAATGGAAACCAAAGTGACGTGCCACAAAGGGTTGTTGTTGGCCCATTGTTGGGAGTATGCGCGCCTCCAGTAGTCATTGATATCCTTGTACGTCTTGACAATCTCACTGTCGAAAGAAACCGGGGGGCGAGCATGCGGGGCGGACATGGTAATGATGGTGTTGATGGAATTGGCCTGGTAATTGGGCATGATGAGCATGGTCCTGGCAACAACACCACCCATTGAGTGACCCAAGACTATAACTGATGTCGGATCTGGCAGGTTGGGGTCTCGGTCGGAGCGAGTTCGATCAAGGTAAAGCGAAAGGATATATCGTATCGCTTCATTCAGGTACTCGGCTTGGTCGAGCAGGGTCTGGCCATGGAAGGCAGTAATGTCCTCGTTGAAGTCGACTGTAAAGAAGTCGAGGCTTCGAGCACCAGCCTTGACAGCAGATTCGTCTTGTTGTAATACATCGTGAAAGTAATTGGCGGCTTCAGCGGCGATGGGTCGAACTTGCTTGTAGCTACCGGCGTTTCCGGGGATGAAGAGGACGGGAACACCCCTGACCTACAGAGGCAAAGTAAGCAAAAGGGGGAAGTGGTACACTAAAAGGTCTTTCATCCCATACCTTTGCATCATTCTCAATGCCCAGTTCGCGATAAAGGTATAGCGAGTATTTGCTTGCGAAACGAGTATGTTCCGTGTCGAAATCGTCAAATTTAGCGTAGCCAGGGCGCATGTACGACATGCGGCAACCCTTGGGATCAATGTGTCGCGTGAAAGACGAATTCAGGACGAGGGCCAGAAAGCCGATACCTAGAATCGAGATGAGCAGGGTCACGAATGTGATGGCCCATGGACTTCGTATCCTCGGTCGCTTGCCAACAAATTTTTGCTCCTCTTCCTTTTCCATCTCTTTTGAATGGGCGGCCCCGTTCGCAGGGGCTCCGAGGGAGAGCGGTGGAGTGGAGGGCGAGTGTGAAAAGGAGGAAGAGAAGAAGGAGGGGGGAGGCTTCTCTATTGATCCATTCCGAGAGTGTGACAGTTTCCAATTGAAGTTGCCGGACCGCCTACTTCGTGCGTAGAAAGACTGCTGTTGTTGTTGCTGTTGGTTTTGCGATTGTTGAGAAGGAGACTGGTGGTCGAGATTCAACGGACCGGCGCCGGAGATAGAGGAAGGGCCGGGATTACGATCGCGCTTGGTAGGGGACTGGCGCACAGAGGGCGACTCGGGACTAGTTCGTTCGGCGGCCGAGGACTGCTGCGAGGGTCGCGAGGGTCGCGGAAGGACTGATGTGGGCGCTATGGGCGGGGATGCGGTCGCGTTTGTTGTCGAGTTTGCGTACACGTCTTGCTCCTGTTGGAGTTGTTGGTGTAGTAGGAAGTCGACATTGGGAAAAGGAGCCTCGACAGGACATAGATGGCCGTCTTCTGAGGTTCCAGCTAGCCGAGTCCTCATTCCAGGGTTGGTGCCAGTGGCGGGCGGTCTTGGGTGTGCCACAACAGGTAACGAACGGGTCAGGGTAGGTTGGTCGGAAGCACAGAGCGCAGCCAGTGTCGCGGGTGGGTGGCTCTTAAGGTCTGACTTTTTTTGTTCCTCTGATCTTCGGGTAGTTTATTTGGTGTGATGTCGCCTCTGCTCCAGAGTCGTGGCATGCGGTTGGCTCCAGCAGGTGAGGCGTATGCAAGACAAAATGCTACTGCAGGCTGAGCCAAGTCGGGAGGAGATCGGATGTTTGACAGTGGCCCGGCCGTTCGGGAGTGGAGGGAGATAAGAGGTATGGATGGGCTCACGGACAAGAGCCTCAGCTCCGAGAGTCTCGAATCTCTACAATCTCGAAACGCGAATCTGCAAAGGCGGAAGTTGGAGTAAAGTTGAGGGAAGGGTGTTGCCAAGTACGGGGCCGACAGCCGATGGAAGTTCCCTACTCGTCAATGGAGGCGATTGCAAGCGCGAAGGGGAAATGGCGTTGGCCAGTTCCAGTCGCTGTCAGCTGCCCGTGCTTCCTGTGAGTGGGCAGGCTCTAGTTAGTGTACCTGTGTCGAGGTACCTGGGCTCTCTGCAGGTGTCAAATGGACCGATGTCAATGCGCCGAGTGACAATCTATCGGATCTCTGTCGTCTAGTCTTCCGCGCTCGAGGACAGGGCTAAGGCTCAGGTAGCACATTACCCCAATCTCATTTTCCAGAGGCGCGGGACCAGAAGCGATAGAAAAGAAGAAAAGGAGAGCAAAGGCGGGAGGCGGGAGTAGGAGTAAAAGAAGAGGAAGATGTTAGAGGTAGGTAGTTATCGGATGGGAACGCGACTGAAAGAAAAAGCCGAAGCTAAGGAAAACTAAGCATTTTGGGGTTGCGGGCTCAGTGGGCTCACAGTGGGCTCCCGTGGGATTTCGCAGCAAGATCCTTGGACACCCGCTCGTCTCCCCCTTGAGGAACTTGAGAGATTTGGGGGTTTCCAATCCTCACCAGCCAATCAGCAGTCTCCCAACTGTTTAATGGAGACCAGGGCCCGGACGATTGGGGTTCGTCATTCAGCCGTCTTTCGGTGCTTGCCCGCCCGCCCAGCCCGCCAGCCCCAGCCCTCCGCGTCCTCCGCGAGCCCACGACAATCTAGCCTCGCTGCGGGCCGAAATGTTTTGACGTGATTCGACACACTCTTTTCATTCGACAGATTGGAATCAGGGAGTTGCCTGTAGCAGCACAGTGGATGAATGGCAGTGGGTCGCAGCGGATTGCTCTTGCGTGATGCACCAATGTCCCGATCGACTGTACCGCAGAAAGAAACCATGGTCCAGGATCACGGTACAATAGAACTTGGATTATTACCAGGGCAATGTAATGATATATCGAAACATTCAAACACATCATATCCATTATAGGTAGGTGTATGAATGAGAGGGGGCACATGGTGGACCTTGTCACCTTGATCCCCCAGAAGTTGGCAAGGCCAATGCCGGGCTTTTTGAAACGGACAAAAACAACTTGTCTCCATATGCCTGATGCAGAGTGGGTTAGAAGTGATGCGATCTTCACCTTGTTAGGTACGTACAGACAAGGCAATTACGGTGCCATTGCGAGTTTCGGTCTTTGCAGCGGAGAGGGCCGGATGCGTTCTTTTTCTGGCCTTCTCTCTTTGCGGCGGCGAGCTGCTTCAAAGAAGAACAATGACATTCGACTGACCCGCCAAGACATCTTTCGTCATGACGAACGGACTGTATATGGCTGCGATATGCTTTACCCAGGCAGCAGGTGTGCCAGCCAAGGCCAGAACAGCTACGCGGGTGCCCGTTGTCGTCAGCCCGGTTTTCGACTGGGAGGATTGGGGGGTTGGATGACCGAAACTGCAACATTATAATGAACACCCTCCTCTATCTTGCAGCTCGTATGTGGAATTGCATATTAATTCCTGGTGATTGCGATTCAAAAACCGGTCAGCGTCGTACTTCTCACCGTCTGTGATTGTAATCCGTGATCATGTACTCATGAACCTCCAAGAAATGGGTTCTATTTCCACGGCCACTATGGTACCGCACGGCAACGCCCGCCCATTGTCTCGTGTTTTGTTGGCTGGCCTCGATCGGATGAATACGAAGCAGCCATCAGTCCATTCGCCGGTCTCCCAACGCCGGGTTGCCAAAAGCAACGATAGAGGCGCATCTGAAGCTGTTATCGTCCCGGATTTGCCTTACCTTATCTATTGAGCTTCAACTTCCAACCTTGTAGGGCGCTCTTGACGTCTCGACAACTTGGCACGCATCCTGGCACATATCGGTGCGACTGGTAGTTTGGCCACTCGGTTCTCGTGAACTGGTCGGCGGCCTGGGTTCTTTGTGGCGGCTAACCGTCAGAATTGACGGGACCTTATCTCCTTTCTCGGGCGCTTGTCAAGTTCAAGACAGTGGTGACGCCCACGTCTTTGTAAGGTTGAGAGTGCTGGGGTACGCAGAAGATGAACGGAAGTCAGCCGTCCTGCCAAGAACTGCACATAACGTCATCCAACCACTTCCACACGTTTCAGTTGATGGCTGCTGTTTAGCGAGTTTATTGCGGCACAGCTCTTTCTCAGTCCCTATCCGAACTTGTTGTTGTCACAGAGAATGATCCGTTCTCATGCAATGCAGTTGGCGAATCCGAGTTATCTACCCTGTAGCTCGTTAACATTACTGTGTAAGAAACTCAGATTGAAAAGCTTCAAAACGTGGAAAAGAACAAGAGGAAGTGATGTGCTGCCATTGCGCGGCATCGAACGGGCATGGGTGGAGGTTTTGCGATGACCCTGACGATCATGAGGCGTACCACCCACCCAGCCGGTCAAGATTGACAGCGAAAGTTGCTCGATTAGAAAACCGCAAGGTGAGGATGGGCAAAGGTGAGAGGCCTCCCATTCTAGTTGCTCGAATAATTGATGAGGATCATACACGAAGATGGATCCGCACGGCATTGAAGGACCAGAAATATGTCTGCTGGAACGACGACATCGACGAAGTCAAAGTTGAGAATTTGTAGACAGGAAACGGTTACCTAATTCTGACTAGCGCTTAGGGGCAGCTTTTGCATAGGTGGGGTTGATGCGTGGAATATGTATCCTACCTACCTACACAGTGGCACAGCATACTGAATGACATGGCGTAACTTTGGCGTATCTTACGCTGTGGATCCACCTCTAAAACGCGCCAAGCCGCAACCACTTTACGCGTGTGCATATCCTGGTTGGCAGCCGTCACGTCTCCCAAACAAAACTTCCATCACGCTATCTCCGACATATCCAACCATGACGACTGTAACTCCAACCTAAACTCGTCCCAAGCCTTGGATATTGAATTGTCCAACCATCCACCGACAAAGATCAATGAGCTTAGTATAGCATAAACATCAGGTTTGGGGATAGAATGGCCTCAGATGGCGCCATCAAGGCTATTGACCCGAGCACGGTTCGCCTACTTTCCAATGGTAGCCCGGCACAAAGAAAGTTCAACTGATCTTGTTTTCCCGTCCTCCAGATCCATCAGATCCAATCTGGTCAAGTCATCGTCGACCTTTGCTCCGTAGCCAAAGAACTCGTAGAAAACGCCCTAGATGCTGGAGCGACGACAATCGGTATGTCGCAAGATATCTGTCCATGCGAGATATGAACAAACACTAAAGAATCACCAGATGTCCGATTTAAGAACCAAGGCCTCGATTCGATCGAAGTCCAGGATAATGGCGGTGGAATATCATCCAGCAACTATGAATCCATCGCGCTAAAACACTACACTTCCAAACTATCCAACTACGATGATCTGTCAACCCTACAAACCTTCGGCTTCCGAGGCGAGGCTTTGTCCTCCCTTTGCGCCCTGTCACACTTCACCATCGTGACATGCACCCAGAAAGAGGCGCCAAAGGCCACCAAACTTGAGTTCGAGACATCCGGAAAGCTCAAGAGCACCAGTGTTGTTTCCGGTCAGCGAGGTACAACCGTCTCAGTCGAAAACCTGTTCAAGAGTCTGCCTGTCCGCCGCCGCGAGCTCGAAAGAAACATCAAGCGAGAATGGGGCAAGGTGGTCAACCTGCTTAACCAGTATGCCTGCATTCAAACCGGCGTCAAGTTCACAGTGTCGCAACAGCCTACCAAGGGAAAGCGGATGGTCTTATTTTCAACAAAGGGAAACCCCACCACCCGAGAGAATATCATCAACGTCTTTGGCATAAAGACAATGACTGCCCTGATCGCTATGGACCTCAGGCTGCAACTAAAACCTACCAATACTGGACTCCTGGCCAAGCTGACTGCTCAGGACGACGACGCCATGACAGAGGTTCGCATTTGTGGACACATCTCGCGCCCAGCTCACGGAGAAGGCCGCCAGACGCCAGATCGGCAAATGTTCTACGTCAATGGAAGACCGTGTGGGTTGCCTCAGTTCGCCAAGGTCTTCAATGAGGTCTATCGGTCCTATAACTCGACTCAATCGCCTTTCATATTTGCTGATATTCAGCTGGACACGCATCTTTATGATGTCAATGTCAGTCCAGACAAACGCACTATCCTGCTTCACGATCAAGGACAAATGTTGGATAACTTGAGGGAGTCCTTGATAGAGCTTTTTGAGTTGCAAGACGTCACAATTCCCGTCTCACACACGCAACCACTTAAAAGCTCAACCTTCAGGGGGCCATCAACAGTCCCCTTGGGGTCATTGACCCCGGCTCGAGGGAAAGACATCAGGGATGCATCGGAAGAACCGAGCAGTTCTCTGCCTTCAAATAGACCTGAAAACGGACCAGAGGGCAACAGGCCAACTAGGCGTGCTGTCAATGAGGACTCGGATAAGGCCGTCAGCGATGAAGATAACGCGCCAAATACTCTGTCTACTGGTTCGAAAACGAATGCCGGGCCATCCAGATCCACACCTGCTAACACACAAGCGTCAAATCTACTCGCCCGGTGGCTTGAGCGAAAGTCTGAGGCCCGGAAACAATCAGTTTCAGCTGCTATCAACGCGAATGACAACAGAAGGGAGAAATCGCCTGTCGAAAAGGAGCCACAATCTCCGAAAATGGCCAGAAGATATGACACAAAGGACGCCGACTCGGACGCCGAACAGGATACTGCAGAAGACAATGAACACGTGGAGAACAATTCAGTGACTCAGGACGTGGTTGATGATATGGAAATGGATAGGGAAGAACTGCCAATGTCATCCATTCCACCCCCATCTCAGCCACCTATTCCAAAAGGGAGCCTCTTATCAATATCACGTCCACCGAAAAGGTCAGCACAAGAGGAGGTGGCAACGATCACTATCGGCGGTCATTCCATCACCAGCGTCATTGGTTCGTCCAATAAAAGGTCCCGACTGTCGGAGGGCATGAGGTCAGTCAGTCTTGGGAGTTCCCCTACGAAAGGGGTTAGGACCGTGCCCGTGCCTTCTTTCGGTGGCCGTTTGACCCAGCTGTTTTCTGCTTCGGGTGGTGCATCTCGCGGGGTATCAAAGGACTTCGAAATGACGACCGAGGATGTGGAAATGGTCGATGAGGAAGAGAAAGGGGAGGAAAACGAAGAGGGTAACGAAACAGAGAAAGGAGTGGATTCCGATGAGGAAGCACTTTTCGTGAGCCAAACGAAAGATGTGCCCGCAGTCGAGTATGATGATATTGACGAAGAAGCTGAACACTCAGCTCGTGAAAATAGCCTAGCTGATGAAGAGGGCAATGGTCCCAGTAGTGGCCAGAGCAGTCAGAGTGTGGCGGAGGGCGATGATAATGGCCAAGTTAAACTTTCAGAAGATGCACCTTCCGAGTGTTGTCATCATGGCGACGATGACGAGGAGTACATTGATGAAGACGAGAAGAAGGCCAAAGAAGAGAAGAAGGTGCAAGAGATGATCAAAGCAGCTGAGAAAAAAGCAAATGAGCCCACTGAAGAGGGCGAAAAGCGATCTCACAGTTTTGTGAAAGGACGACTGAAACGGAAAGACTTGACTTTCAACCTTATCCAACGTCTAAAGACAAGCGAAGGCGACATCCGTTCTCGTATGGAAACCTGGGCAAAGTATCTACCGAGAGCGGGCACAGCTACCTCCTCTACACAAGAGAGCAGCGATGGGAAACCAACCATAGGTCTCGACGCCGCCGACGCCGAAGAGAAACTCTCCCTCAAAATATCCAAATCCGACTTTGCCAAAATGAAAATCGTCGGCCAGTTCAATCTCGGCTTCATCATTGCCGTCAGGGAAGCCTCCTCCTCTCATTCATTAGAACATTCCCCAACTCAACAAAGCCCCGCTGCCACCACCCAAGAAGATGATGAACTCTTCATCATCGACCAACATGCCTCAGACGAAAAGTACAACTTTGAGCGCCTCCAATCCACCACCACCGTGCAATCCCAGCGTCTCGTCCAGCCCAAACCGCTCACCCTCACCGCCGTCGAAGAAGAAATTATCCTCGAACACCTACCTGCGCTCGCGGCCAACGGGTTCCAAGTGCGCGTCGATACCTCAGGCGAGTCCGCTGTCGGTTCTCGCTGCCAGCTTTTATCTCTTCCCCTTTCGCGTGAGACGACCTTCGGCGTAGCAGATTTGGAGGAACTGATCTTCCTGCTGGGGGATAACCCGACTTCGAGCGCCACCACCGCGATACCGAGGCCTTCCAAAGTGAGAAAGATGTTTGCCATGAGAGCGTGCAGGAACAGCATCATGATCGGTCGGGCGTTGAGTCGGCCGCAGATGGAGAAGGTGGTTAGGCATATGGGCGAGATGGAGAAGCCGTGGAATTGTCCGCATGGGCGGCCGACGATGAGACATCTTTGTGGACTGGGGACGGCGTTTGGGGAAGGTACCAAAGAAAAGGAGAGGGGATGGGATGAGTGGGAAGGGGTGGAAAGGGAGAGGGTTGATTGGAAAGCGTGGGTTAGGGAGAAGAGGGAAGACGGAGAGGAGGATGAAGGAGAGGGACAAGAAGAGGAAGAGGAAGAGGAAGAGGAGGAAGAAATGAGTGAATAAGGACAAGTATTAAATGGTTTCTCATAGGAATGAATCACATCGTATCGTGAAGCATTCTACGAACTTGTGCTTGTGTGGTTGGAGACCTCGTGTTGTTAACTTGCAGCATTTTTTGGGGTTGAATGAAGTATATAAGACCATCCTTCTGGAACAAAATTTACATACGGCCATAGATAGTAGAAAACTCGGGATCCCGTCCGCTCTCCCATAGATAAACTACTAATCGCCTGACTAGTAGTTGGGTCGGTGACGACCAGCGAATCCCAGGTGCTGTATGTTTTTTTTCTTTCTTTTTGACATTTTGACCTCCGTTCACCTCCATTTCGGATCATGTTTATTCTTTTTTTCCAGTGGGCTGTAGCGTTGTTTACTTCGGCATTGGCATGTCCAACCACAGTTTACAGCGTCCGGATTTGGCAGAAGAACCTACGCCAGGGGGTCGGTCTCCATAGACAGGGCCAAGGGGGACCCTTCAGCGCTGACAAAAGCTTATGTGTTTCTTAATACAAACCGTATTTCTGGCGTCCGCTGGCGTCCCCTCCCGTTCCCCAAACTCAACGCCATGTGTTTCCCGCTTTGAGAGCAGATGGGGTAGGATTCCCGCACTTGCGGGGGAATATGGGGGTGCTCTACCCGGTTCCAGGTCCTCGAGGAATCCTCGCGGTGAAGAAATGGGGAACAAAACAAGGGAATTCATTATGTCGTTATTTTCTTCAATGATCGTTGTCTATGCTGTCTTTTCATGGCGTCTTCTATCCAGCCTGGGCTTCAGTCCATCCCGTTGCGAATATTGGTCTACGATACCACGATCCGGCACTTGTTACAGCCTGCAGCGCTGAAGAGCTACATATCAAGGATAGCATGCGGCTTCGGGGAAACCTCTCCAAATCTCCAACATTTCTACGCATGCAGCAAATCAGCCTGATCTGCGGATGGTACAGATTGTCCTACAATGACATGCTTAGTGCAGTACCTACCTACTACTGCCGGACACTGGCCAGAGGCATGATGAACAAGTGGTTAGTAAGCCTTATGCTAGCAGGTTAACTAACTGCACTCCTACACTACTATTAGCTTCGGCCATATTTCTGAGCTCCATTCACATGCTCTGGGGTGTGGCTGCTGCCCCTCATCGTGGTGCTGATCTCCTTCTCCGAATTGCGGCCCCGGACTGTTTTGACTTGACAAGCGGTGACTGAAAATTGAAGTACAAGTGTGCTCCTTGAAATTATCACTGTTCTTGTGCTGAACCAATGTTTTAGTCCATCGGTCTTTTGAAAGTTTAGAAGAAACACAGAAATCATGTCGTTTAGCCGTGAGTCCAACACCTTCTCCAGTCACCCTTCCTCCAGACGCCAAAATATCTAAACGGCAACAAAACTGACAGTCGAATCTTATCTAGGTCTCGTAAGATTCGTCCCCAAGGGCGATGACTCCAAGGTCCTCATTGGCGAGCCCGTCGACAGCCAAGTCGACGTCGGCGCCGCCGTCCGCAAGGGCGAAGATGTCGAAGTGAACGTCTACTCTGGCACCTCCGTTCTCGACGCCGGCTCTCCCACCGGCAACAAGGCCATCATCGGCCGAATTCTCTCTCCTGTCACTGCCCAAGAAGCCGGCACCATCCGCTGCATTGGCTTGAATGTAAGCTTTTGCCCCCTCACACCCCCAAAACCTCCTCTACGCCTACCTAGATGCCTGCAATTTAATTCCCCAACTTGGCTGCACAACTGAGCTAAACGTTCCCGCCTGAACCAAAATAAACAGTACAAAAAACACGCCGAAGAAGCCAAAATGTCCATCCCCGAGATCCCCACCCTCTTCCTTAAGCCCGCCACCGCCCTGGCCGACCCCTACCCGGCGCCCACGCCCATTCCCAAGCACACCATCGAGTCGGACTCGGCCGACTACGAGTCCGAGCTGGCCATCATTATCGGCAAGGACTGCAAGAACGTCAGCGAAGCAGAAGCGCTGGACTACGTCCTCGGCTACACCGCCAGCAACGACATTAGCAGCCGCGCGTCCCAGTTTGCGCAGACGCAGTGGTGTTACTCTAAGGGTTTCGATGGCAGTTGTCCTATTGGCCCCGTGTTGGTTAGCAAGGAGGTTATTGGGGATGTGGGCGGGCTGAAGGTCAGAGGGTTGAAGAATGGGAAGGTGGTGCAGGAGAGTCCCTTGACGTGAGTTTTTTTTTTTTTTTTTTCCTTTCTTTGTCTGTTTTGTCCAGTTTTGTTTTCTGTGCTTTGTTTGTGGTGTTGGATGGGATGCTGACAGGACTACACAGTGACCTCATCTTCTCGGTTCAAGAAATTATCAGCTTCTTGTCGCAGGGCACCACGCTGCCCAAGGGTACCGTTATCATAACCGGCACTCCGGCTGGTGTTGGCTTTGCTAAGAATCCTAAGGAGTTGTTGCATGATGGTGATGAGTTCGTGGTGGAGATCTTGCCGCATATTGGCAGTTTGTATAATGTCATGAAGAACGAGCAGTGAGAGGAGGATTAGGTATAATGGATTGATGTGAGATGGTTTGATTTAATGACTTCAGGCCGGAAAAGAACAGTTAGCAAGACAGCAAACCGGGAGTGCCAACGAATGTTATGAACAAGTACAATGTGCAAAACTTTTTACTCTCTTCGACGTTACAATCCGTTGTTCTGAAAGTGGGATATCGGCACGTTTCCTTAGACCCAATTTTCACTTTCATCGAAGATCTAGAGGAGAGGACTTGCCAGGTTTATAGAATTTGAACAAGATGACAAGGCAGATAAAATTTAGAAACCATTGACTGGACGGAACTCCGGCTGTTTAACGGACCCGCTGGAAACATATTCTGTCTGATCTTCAAGATAAATCTTGTCTAGACATTTCGATGCTCCATTTTATCTCCTCGCGTCTTCACATCTCCTGTCACCCAAGGTATTCGCGAATACACAAGCCACAGAACACAGTAAACCCTTTACTCGTTCTATCTCTCGCCTTTCAAAAAGAAGAGAAGAGCCTTGACAAGACCCCCCACCACTGTTTAACCCAACAAACTCGGCAAGTTCTCCTTGATATACTCCACCACCGTATCCGGTCCCTTATTCACCTGCAACCCCTGTGGCAAAGAAAAAGTCTTGAGGTCCTCGCCGACCACTTCCTTGGCAATGGTAATAATCTGATGAGCTTCTTCGGGAGTCCACATTGATGCCGTGAACTGCAGTTTTGTGTTAGCTATCTTTGTATATTCTCTACGTTGCTTGAGTATGCGGACTAAGGGGCGCCAAACCAGAATGTTGGGTCGGTGTTCTTCGACTACAGACTTTACTTCTTCGATTGCTGTTTGGTTTGAGCCAGTCAGTCAACGATTGGGAAGGTAAAGGAGGCGATAATCAACAGAAACCACGGGAGCGAACACTTACAGGCAGCGTTGCCGACATGGATAATGGTGTACTTGTCCTTGACGTCTTCGACAACACGGCCGATGAGACGCTTGGCGCGATCGGGAGCCGTGTTGACGGTGACGAGCTTGTAGGGGCCAGGGGAGGAGGACATTGTTGGTGTTGTTTATCTGTCTATTGTTTTCCTTCGACTGGACGGTGATTGATAGCTAGGTAATGGTGGGAGCTTGGAGAGGATGAAAAAGACTGATTAAGCGGTGTGATTGACAGAGGCAAGGGTCGTCATGATCCAGAGGAGCTTGCACAGAGGTTGATGATGCTGGGTAAAAGCTTTGCAGAAGAATCAAGCTTCAAAACAATCCGCCAGTCAACATCATCAATAGCTTCGGGATGACCTACCCGCGGCCCGACGCTTCAAGAACCAAAAAGTAAGCCCGCCCCCGGCCGCCTTTCAGTTCTCTTCTCGAAAGCATGCTCTTCATGTGACAGGCAGGCTTGACAGGCAGGCTGGGAGCCTCACAGTTGGTTGATCCTCTCGCCCATCAAGAGTCCAAGATGACGGGACGGGGACTGTTTGACGGAGTGAACTCCAAAAACGCGGGGAAGCGGGACATCATCACGCCCATCGTCACATCGCGCGCCCCGCATCCTCGATCGGGTAGTTGATGAAGTGCCGGCCGGTAACGGTGTCGGTGGTCTCGGCATTTGTGACCCCGATTCTTCATAATGGCGACGCATTCGACCTTTAGGGGTTCATAACAGTATATTTACTCGGATATAGAATCCTCCCCCCCGCGTACTTTCGTTTGCAAATCAACTGGATGGAAGTCATCTGCTCGTGCACTATAGTGTATGATGCAGGTGACGGACTCGATAGAGTCTCGAAATGTCATCATCAACGGTGCTGGAACAGAGGATAAACCGCATTCAAAGGACATTGTGCGAGTTCCAGGTTATTCACACGTATGATCTGAGCGTACATAGCACCAAGGGAAAGTGATGCTATTCCAGGGCCTTCAGGCCTGCGTAGCGCTGAAAGGAACGAGGTTTTAAGGGGGTTTTGTTAGCGTCTTGAGACAAACAATCCTTTCTCCGGCACACAACCGAAGTGCTTGGAAAAGGCAAGGGCGAATGGTTTGCTCACAAGTACAGGTCAGTTCCTCTTTCCCTTTCAACTCATGCGACACAAGCGAGGAAATTGGCGTTCAATGCTTAAGTTGTCTTTGCTGACAGGGAAAGGAGAAATTTTAAAGTTTCGGTTTCTCCTTTAACGCCCTTTTGCCACACCGTCACCATGTCTGGCAGTCACAGGGGTCGGTACCTCGATTCGCGAGAACGCCTGGAAAGACCCCTATGAAACACCCTAATCCTCTGGCCCCCCTTTTGCACGACTAGCAACGACGGGAGCCTGTGACGACACTAGACATGACGACATGTGAAATGATTAGTTAATGATGAATCGTGTTTTCTATTGTTGGTGGTGGAGTTCGCTTATGTGATTAAAGCCATTAGCTGCTATCCGAAGCTGTTCGGAGATTTGCAGAATCTCGATTCGATCATATACGCGGTAGCAATGGAGCCGAGAAATGGTTGGGTGAGTTGACGACATACCAGTATGCATCAGAACGAAAGATACGCTGGGGTAAGATGAAGGGTAACTCCAGATGTTGTCCTGTAGATAGGCGACAGAAAACTCATCCCGCGTAAGACGACGACCGACACTGCTGCGTCACGAGACCCCCAAGATATTTACTGGCACCGCAAAAGTCTCAATTTCGGCGGAGGTGCAAAACGTAGTGGCATTGCGGTGTGCTTGAGGTGAATTCGCTATTCGTCCCAGGGATCGCAGCATGATGTATGTTGCGACCTAAGAAAACCGGGAAAGTATCTCTTCCAGCATCGGAATCGAGGTCTCAAAACTGCTTAAAAGGATGTAATATCGGAAGACGATAGGGTTTGGATTAAGAAGAGATGACAGGCCAGGGGACCCCGGCCCGCATCATACTCTGAGGGAGTACATACCAAGTTGGTTATGCGAACAGGGGATCTGATCCATCTTTTGATGCTCACTCCTCGGCTTCCAAGGAGAGAAATGCCTGTGTTTCCCGTGATTCTCAGCTTTCAAAGACCAAGACTAGAGAAGGAAAAGAAAAGACAAACACATATCCAGTGCTTGCTCATCAACATAGACGAGCTGAGAACGACTGCGGCCCGAAGAATGAGAGCAGCACGCCACATTGTGCACTGAAACATTGGATCAATGGCCAATTGATGGCCGGATCGGAGCCATGGCGGACTCGTGCAGTACGCATCCATCCCCTTGGGTTCCCTAGGAAGCCGAACTCCGACTGGAGGTAGGGGTGTTTTGCTGGGATGGTGAATCACTAATCCCCGGTGTAAGTGGCCAGGAAGCCAGGCGTGCCAGGTACATAGTCAAGAATTGTCCCATTTGGCTGCTCATCAACAGCCTCGCCAAGCCAACTGTAACATATCCCATTCCGACTCGCCGAGTGATCGTCTGACTGGCTTCGGACACTGCAGCAAAACCCAACCTCCGTTTCTGCAGATACGGTGCGCATAATCTCTGAGGTGTTTTGTGGCTTTTGCTTCACACCTTGCCACAGTGCTTCGAAGCAGCGGACGCAAGCCCATCGGGAGAAGACAAAATGGGGCTGTAGGCAACCAAAGCACTGGGTTCGGTGGCATTGAAGCCCAATTCCTATGCCGATCATGCTCATTGCTCTCCCACATTGGATAAGCTTGGCAGGGCCAGCAGGGCCCAGCTGAGACCAGACACAGGAGGTCGAAATCTGTGCCGATCGTCTGTCTGGGTATGAGTAGGGCAACGGTACTTATGTAGTGTATCTCCAAGGCTTACGGCTGATCCGAATTTCTAAACGGACAGTGACTGTTATCCTCTCCAGAAGGGCCGTGAAAGCCAAAAAGGAAAGGCACCAAGCACGTCGAAGCAGATATTCCTATCAGTAGATGGAACGAAGCAAACTGCTCTTGGGGCGCTATCTGCTGGTGTTTGGATCTCGTGTTTTGGTCTGACACAATGTCTCAGGCAACTATCACATCAACTGAGTACGGTCAATGTTTGCCAAGGCGAAGAAGGAACAAGCTTACGCCAGATTTGAACCAGCTATGGAACTGTGGAAGACACATGATAATCTGCCAGGAGGAAGATACGCTACAAGCTTGAGGCCCCAAGCCACGCTGCTGGCAATACGGATTCTGCATGGTGATAGGTATATTGAACATCACCTGGTGAAGGAGACACACTTTGCCATTCATACCATTGACAAACTCGGCCTGCTCTGGAAGATCTCATTGCCAGCCTCTTGGAATACCTCTTGACCATTGGGATCTTGATGAGGACCTTTTCAGACTGCTGCCCAAATCCTCGATCATGACAAATGCGGCATAAGATTGGGGATATGCAGGTGGACTATCTGGTATCAGTTTCGGCTGGCAGTTGCGTGGTTCGCATGATCGGGCAAGGGAACACTGAACGGCTAAGACCAATAGACCCGGTCAAGGCATCATTAGCAGCGAAAGACACGATTTCAGCTTCTTTCATGAGGCTGGTTAAGCTGATAGGCCTCGTAGTTTCGGAAGACGCACCAGTGAAGGGGTGACAGGTAGAATTCACGGTAGCTACCTACATAGAGTATAATGTCGAGTGTTATCACACATGGTACTAGACAAAGTGCCGACTGCTATCGTGGCTATGTTAGGCCCATTTGGCGTCCTTGATACTTGCGTGGGATCGACACATTCTCGAGAGACCAGCATATGCCGAGATGCTGACACTGAGAGGCCGGTCTCCGCCAGTTGGATTTCCTGATGGTGCTATTGTGAGACTTGTCATTCAAGCTTGCGCAAAAAGTACCCTGGTACAATGAAAGGGTATGGAGCAGAGACTGGGCTATCGTACATAATCCCTCCCTTCGCCGGAGCAATGGCCGAAGAAGGTCGTGACGTCCTCTGCGAAACCCTTTGTGAGTTGAATTTCATGAGAACTGGTGGGTTGTGTGTGTGACTAACTACCGTGGGTACCACGGTGCGATGCTACATCAAGCGGAAGGTAGCATGTGTGTACGTAAAATACGCCATCGGGACAGCACACTCACAGTGCCGGTGCCTACAGTGGGCAGGTAGTCAAGCAGGCATTGGTAACCGGTCATGTATGGTACAAAGTTGGTAGTGCCATCCATCGCTGGCGTGAGGAGGAAGGAGGGCTTGCGACCAAGAGGAGTTCGGGAGAGTTTCCATGCAGAAATTGCTTGGCTCGAGTCCAAGAGGAATTGACCGCAATGATTGGCGGGGACTTCCAGGACTTTTGGTCGAGTAAGGCGTAGGTAGCGCTGACCTGGGAGCATCTTGAACAACATGTCTACCAGAAAGACTTCACTTCTTTTGGGAGGAGTCTAAACGAACGCAAACATCCTCAGTCCCGTCGATACCTTCACCATACTGGATCAGTTGGTTGGCGAAGCTGGTACACCGAAAGGAGGTGATTGAGGTGCCATGATGATTCCAGTCAAAGCGGTCCTATCGAGATGCGGGGATGTTGGGTAAGACGGGACGGATGGATGAAAGAAGGTCGCCGAAATGGCCTCGTCGGCGATTCTTGCGCCGGTGGGTGCACTTGCTGTCAGTAGGCGATAGCCGGGACAGGGACGGAGCGATAACATGCTTAGGGGAGGAAAGGACGATGAGTGATGACACCTTGTCTGGCCAGAGAGGTTCTCAAGCTGCCTGGAGGTGCAGGAGCGTAGCGAGCCATTGCGCGCCCTCCCGTCCCTCGCTTTGGAGGCTTTTACCATCTGATGTACGTTCCTTCCACTTTGCACACTACCGTCGCAATGGCGGGAGGAGAAGGTTGCAATCGCCAAGTTCTGGGGAAATCAGATCATCACGGAGCGCGACGGAAAGTGTTCATCCCATATCGTTAAAGGCAGGGCAAGGGCCCACGCTAGCACCAAGGGTACGTACCGTCGTTACCATGTTACAGTAGGAACCCCTATTGATACAATGACTGCCGGGCTGTAGCAAATCCCCCTCTCTTATAGAGGATTTCGACTGTCCGCATTTTTTTAGACGTGGGTATGGTGTATAGCAAGACGGAAACATGCAATTGCAACAATTGACGGCCCAGAAATTGTATTGATAGGGGTCTAATTCTAGCAGGAGGGTACACTTATACTTATGTATATACTGGGGCATAGATAATCGCTTGATCAGACCCACCTGTTCCTTCTTTTGCAAAACCCCATTTTCTACAAAAACCTTGAGCTGGCGACATTGATTGCAATAACAAGGGTTTCTAAATGTACACTATGCAGCGCATAAGGTTGCACCCACACTAGAGAGCGTTTGGGGTTTTATGCATTAGTGCAAACTGTAGCCCCCGCTTGGCCCTTCTCAGATGCGACATTGCTCACTTCACTTTGTCAACTCGCGTCTTCAGTTCGCTTTGACATTTACCTTCACGCATCTCTTATCCGGACAAGGGAGGGCACAAACGGGCCACCTATCAACAAATTTGATAGTCACTGGTACTCCGAGTATGAATATCACGCGCAAACACTTGCAAGTAAGTCACTGTTGCCAACGGTTTGTCCAGGTCAATATGTCGCTGTCGAAATGCGAGGGGTTGATAGGCAGTCTGCATCTAATGAGAAACAAATTGATGACTGCCGCGAGCCCCATAGTCCCGATCTTGTCTTCGTTTCATGTTGGCCTCCATACATTCCACTTTGGGCAGTCCCTGCTAAGCTTACAGCAGGGCCGGCTGGTGAGATGATTACCTAGGTAAAGTACTTCTACTTCTACCGATGGCATGAGTCCGCAGGTACCCTACCCAGACACGCCGTGACATCTGGGACATTCACGAATATCACGCTCGCGGAAATCCATTGGCACTGGTATCGTCATCAGTCTCCTGTCGTCTTCTTCCTGGCCATTTGAGCTCAGCTGGTCTGGGGATTACTGTAGGGGTCGATCTGTGCTTGACTCCAATTCACGAAAGTGCTTTGCACCGAAACACATCGCGTCCGTGATACTAACGTTCCGAAATATGGCATAAGGATAACGTTAACATACAATATCGATTATCACCCATCCATCGGCTGTGAACTGATAATCTGCTAGGACCAACGTGGTAACTCTGACGACAGTCTCTTCGGTGCAATTTACAACTACGGTATCTGAAACGCTCCTTGAGACTAGTCTCAGAACAGAGAATATTTGATGAGAGATGAAATGACACTGAAAGAAATGGGATGACGACTCGTAAGAGCAAAAGTTTGTATCGTAGGACATGATCGCACGCAAGACTGCAATTCCTGTCCTCGACGTCGAGCTTACTACCACTGGACCTATCGCGGCTCCGTCCGTACGACCCGATGCCGTCTTGCGGGAAAAATACACCAATTTTCTTTTTTTTATTAAACCGCATACTACCTTAAACAAACGACTCAGAGTACCAACCAATGTTTCCAATATGCGGCATAGGGCAAGAACCACACGTTTCTGCGCCACAAAAGTCTCTTGGGCTGCCACAGAAAGGCAGACTTGAGCGTATCTCTTCACACAAATGTAAAACTGGGTGTTTTCAGCTATGTACCTCGGATTCATCGTGTCGGACAGCCCAGGGTCCCCCAGACCTCATTCGGATCGAGTGTGATAAGAATAGGTACGTCTATCAGGTATATCTACTCATTAGCCGAGCAACCAGATCCTCCCGTGGCTTAAGCTTGTCATTGAAGGTTGGATATTCATATTGCACAAAGGTCAATCCGCTCCCGTTTTGCTATCTCGTGACCCTCCCGCCCCACAGTCACATTATCGACATGCGATGCGATCAACATGGTGGACTTTACTTGCTGAAAAGTCTGGTTCGGTTGAATGGATGCAGTTGCATTCACGATAAGCAGTCCTTTTTTGCGTTCATCTTTTTCTTTGTCAATGGCAAACACTGTTGTGATCTCCAACGGCACGGCTTGGCAAGCTAGCCGGGCTTCCACGCGTAACTGAACTTTATTTCAGGAATCGCTGTGGGAAATTTAGCGTCAACACCTCTCTGCAGCAGTTTCATTCGCCATCCGGAATGAGCTAGGGAATTTCCCCATTCATAATGACCCCCTTCCCCCCTTACATGCAAGGATCACGTTCGTCAAGATGAACAGGGCCCCTAGTGTATGTACATTCATCCAAAAAAACGTTCATCGGGGAATCGGACGATTAACAAGCTAGGGCTGACTGCGTATTTGGCCAACAAGTACATGTACGTATCGAGGAGGTCTACGTACCTGTTTTGGGGTCGCACAACACAAGAGGCAAAGGCACAGGCACAAACTCGTGTGCCCCAGATGCTGTGAAACACGCTTTCCATCAGGGCAGTAGTACTCTTCAAGTGATGAATGGGATAGAGGATATGGCAGGCTCTTTTCAGGCGTCCAGGTCTCAGACAAGATTTTCCTCTCCCGTCCTAGGCTACGGTACGTCCCGTGGTTCGTTGCCCATCATGACCTCGCGTCGTCTCATACGTCCATCCAAGTGGAAGACATCGATCCGGAGCCAGTCCCTCAATATCGCTGGAACTCAATGGACAATTCGACCTGGGTCTCCGTCTCCAGAAACCGTCATCATCCCCAATCGAAACAGCGGCGCCCTTGTCGTCCTTGTACCTGGATGTGTACTTGGCCTCTATCTCTCGCCTGTCCATCTTACCCACGGGCATCATGGTGCCCTTGCTGCTTCTTGCTACCGAGGAGATGGCCTCCAGGCTACCCAATCCTCGCCCGTCTTGGCCAACATCAAAGGTAACCTTGTCTAAGGTACCCGTACAAGCCAAGAGAGGCTCTTTCGTCGACCTCGTCAGTGCCTGTTCACAACAAATCATTTGCTTGCTCACCACGTCCAATACCACCGCCAACACAGACGCTTCCTCTTCTTCCAAAATTACTTAAGACTGCCTTCCGGTCGCTCTCAAGGTGCTTCTGACTTCAAGTGAAAGCAGCACCATCATCATCATCATCATCCTTTTTATACCTCCTCTCTTCTACTATATCAACCTCTATCAGTCTCTACCCTGTATAATCTCATACATACACTGCCACACATTTGAGCTTACACAGCGACAAAAGTTGTCTTCACACACATACAAGTCACCACCAACAACTATCTTCCTCAACCTCAACCATCAAAACAATATTCAACATGGCCGTCAAGGAGTACCAGCCTCTTGTCAACCACTGCTGCTCTTTCTGCTGCAAGGCAGTTGACTTTGGTACACACGACTACTGCCCTGTGGGCGCCGAGTGTGCTAGCTGCCCATACTAAGACTGGCATCTCATTCTGAAGCCTAAAAGTCCCAGCTGGGGCTGATTTACCCGATTGGGCTGGCTGCATCATGCCGCTCGGTCTGCAAGTCGTCTAAAGTCTGCAAATAATTCCACGCCAGCTCAAGTTCCACCTCCAACGAAAGTTCGTCATGGCCGATCCATGGCGTCCTTGCTTCGTTGATCTCGCTTCCTTCCCGTCAGCTTTAACCAGATCTCGGGCGGAATCCGCCTTCCAAGTCACTCATTGGATCACGACAAATGACAAAACCGGGCCTCAAGGCCTTTCGTCCAAACACCCACGTCTACTACAACCGTCCATCACATCTTTCACGACGCTGTTCCTCACCGGCGATGCATGGCGTCTGGGAAATCGAACAAACAAACATTTCCCACCTCATCCACTTTCAACTGCGGCCAATAAACAACAATCGTCCTGCAGAAGCAAGTCTGATCTACAGTACACCTCTTTCAACCGTACGACACTGCATATCAGATGCATGAAACTCGTGCATTTATATGCGGCTTGCTTCAATGCTTGACAACCACCGTGTATCTATCTTGTTTATGTCTCCTCTCATCTGATGGACGAGATCACCTCCACCCCCACAACATTTCCTCTATTCACCTGGTTCCGTTCTTTTCGACTTGGGGCGTTCGAGGAATTTTCTTCAATATTTGCATAACAGTTGCTTTTTTTTTTTGGTTGTGGTTGGGATCGAGATGGTGTTGTTGGGAATTTGCCTTTGTTTTTGGTTGTTTGGCGGAACGGGCCCTTGGCTTGCTTCTTTGAAATTTCCTTATCTCCTTTATCGTGCATAGCAGAGTGTTTGGTTTTTTGTTTTTTTTTGTTTTTTTTTTGGTTTTACCTGCTTGGAGTATGTTCGGATGGCGCTTGAGGAAGGGAATATCTATGCTCGGAAATTTGCAACTTTGGAAGGAGTCATGGAAATCGGAAAGGAGAACCTTTGGTACCTAGTTAATTCGCTGTTTGACTTTGTCAATGCATCATGACCACTCGACAATGTTAATATCTTCATAACTATGCTGATATCCAATTTATAGTTTAACTGGGGCCTCGTTCATTTGTTTACCTTAATTCACCCCAGCTTCCTCTCTTCGTTCCTACTGTACCTGACCCCAGTAGAGTCAGGACTAAAACCCTCGGTGAAGGTACGAATATAACGCAAACATGAAGAACACATCGGGAGAAGAGCAGAAAGAAGCATAGGTCAACTGAAACCACCAACCCAGTTCTATACTTTCCTACGCAAAACCATCACAAGTTTTCAATGTAATAATGATACGATAATCCTGTCGTCCAACATATTCTCCGCTGCTCTCTCCAGGCCCCCTTCCCCTACGGAGTTGACTCCCCCTTGCTTCTGACGTACATATTGCCATTATATGACCATGGTCCCCTGAACATGCACCATTCTCGACTCCTCCCGGACCGTAACCTAGCTCTCCGCGGATGGAGAGGGGAGGTAAAAGACTGTAGGAGACGATGAAGCGGGGAGTGTCCAAGCAAGTGAGCGGGCCAAGCTCGCTCGGTGGACGTTGGGTGTTTGGGAGATACTCCCAACAAACAAACATATCATGAACGTACGACTCTATGACAAACTAGAAACAAATAGCAAGCTTTTCTGATTTTGGAACCTTTCTGTTGCATCGAGCATAGAACCGTCATACATGACCCCTCAAGATTTAGGCTGGTATGATCATCGCCGAGTACTAAGTAATCAGGTCGCCTTTTCTCCCAGTCCGAACTGTGTCGCGACATTCCGATCTACTGTGCCTTTAGACGGCCTGGATTTAGAAACGCCACGATGAGGCTACATAAAAGATTTGGGAGAACTTAAACAAAAGAAACAACCTGATTTTGTCGACCGACTTCTCGATGCGTGCTTTTGGATGAGATGATAATGGTAGGTTTAACAGGAATGGAATGTACCAAGTACAGAGGAAAAGACAGAATGTTTGGGTGAAGAGTAACTGCCGTGTATGTATAGCGTACCTGCCCTTATTTTCTCCCAGTATTGCTCCTTCCTGAGAAGAACACACTCAGGTAGGTACCACGAGGCACCTTTTTTGAGGGAGTGAACTTTAATGTCCATCTCAGTCCCAATTTCAGAACAACCATCCATTCTTCCGAATTTGTGCTACTAAAACTTCATCGAGATCTCGGCAAGCGTAACATCTGACTGCTTTTATTCCAACCATTCGACCCCTCATCAATCAAAAGTGTCATCCAGCTTCGAGTTCTCAATGGTTAGTAGTTCGTTCGTATAGCGACACGTACCCAGACACTCGCTCTTTTGTTCACACAATCCGTTCCTCCGTTCCCCCCGCATCGATCATTCATCCCATCCACTCCCGCTCTTATATAGACAGTTACGGAATGACAAATGGACGAGCGGACGGCTCATGGCCGAGAAACTATACGCTAGCCACAGACGCGAGACAGACGAGATGAGCCCAGCGTAGAAGACGGCAGGACACGGCTGGCACAGAGTGGGTCGGTAAGACAGGTGATACTGGAGCTGTCCATTATGCTGAGAATTCATACAGCACGTGAGGATTGAGAGTAAGTAGGTAGGTACTGAAGTGATGAAAGTACCATCGATATGTGGATTTTCCCTCTTCCTCCGACTACAAAGGCGTGAGAGATGGGAATACTAGGTATAACTTTCATCCCATAACCGGCAACGGAGTGAAACCTAGCAGGAAGTTAAGGAAAAGGGTCGAGATAGAAGGGTTACCATATCCAAAAAGATATCCTGTTAGCAGCAGAAAAGGGCGACGACTTGCTCATCCCCAAAAGGGATCGCCGATGGAGCTTTTGTTGTTGTTGGAGAAGCTGTTGGTTCTACAAGTGATCGTGATCGTAGCGAGTCATGAGATTAGCGGATGTATATAGGGTACTACTTAGATATTGCTCATAGGCTGGTGGTAGGGGGGTGTGTATATGTTACATTCAATCAGCCAAAGATTGAACCAAGATGAGATGATATGACTGGCGACATTGCTTCCTATAAGATGGAACAAACCGGAATCACAGGTAGATTTATAACTTGTGAGAGAGTCTAGGGCGGAAAATGATATCTGATTTTCTGGTTAGCCAAGCCCTTATCCACTCTCTTCATGGTACTTTTATACCTGCCGGGTGCTTGTGCTAAGGTCCGTTGCGGGTGACTGGCTGGTGTTATGGTTAATGAACGGACTTAAATCGGTGGTGGAATCTCCTGATTGTGCATTACTATGACTTCTCTGGAGACGTCAAAAGTCACGATAGTATCATAATTAAGACATGATTATATGAATCTATATACAACGAAAGATGATGAGAACCGTGTTCTAGATAAGTCGGGCCGAATACCGTCCAAAAACATAACGCCATTCTCCGTGAATGTGGTATCTCTAGAAATCCTAGCATAAGCAATTTAGTTCAGTGATTTCGATCAAAGCCAAAGGGGGAAGGCAACCTTGACCCGCTCATGATCATTTTCATGCTTCCTTCCTCTTTCCCTCAACTTCTCAAGCCCCGTTCAATGGTCATGAAACATGCGAATCGTCCAAAACACCCATGCAAAATGCGCAGGCCAAAGCGAATCCGTAATCACAATCTCCCTTCACGCACATGCGTTTTCGATTGAGGTAATTCGTTGTGAGACCTCCTCTCTCATCCGCCCTATCCCCGTCACCAGTCACAGACAAGAGACAACGGCGCGGGCGCCGACGCCATTCGCCAATAGGCGATGGGTTAGTCTGCGAGATCCTATCAAAGGACAGGATGCACGCCTGAGACGCAATTATGGCCTGATGTCTTGCCGGTCTCCTATGCCGCACTCCACCTCCCTAAACCGTTCAGAAGTCCGGATGTGTATTCGTGCAAGCACGCGCGGGTAGCTTAGGGTTATTCTCATTCTCGCAGTTGCGTAGGAATTTCATATCCGGATACTAAAGTGCAATTGCACTGGACGTACGGATAGAGCCCTGATCCGAATGTACCGCGCAGAAAGTGCAATCAGTAAAGACTGCGGAAAACAGCAGCGATCGACCCTTTGTCGTACTTGACGTATTTTCCCTTTCCCTTGTCGATCTCGTGGTAACGATCCCAGAATCGATTGTAAAGCGGCTCGAGCATGTGCTGAACATCCTGTGCAAGCATCTGGCGCACCTCTTTCTCCATGGTGAACTGCTTGTGACGGGCAACCATGTCTTCGAAGCCGGAATTGAAGGCTGTGAACATGCCCTTGATTTTCTCCTTATCCTTGGAGCTGAGGCCCTTCATGATCGAAGCCGAGCTTACCATGCCCTGACCGGAACCCGGGCGTGCGGTGCGGTTGGTATGGACCGTGTCAAACAGATGGATACTGATTTCCTTGCAGGTCTCGGTGTAGAGAGCAGTGGCCTTCTTTCTCCATACGTCGAGCACTTGGAGGCGAGACTGGAGAAGGGTAACCAGGCCAGATTCGTTGATCATACGCTCAATGACGGTGACATTGTTAGCCAGGAACACACCAATGACTGCCTTCTTCTGCTGATATAGGACACGGGCACGGGCATCCAGCGAAGAAAGGAGGGTCTCGATGGTGTCGGCACAGTAGTGGGCAAAGATCTCTTGCCCGTCCGCACCGACATCGAACGAAACGAGGCTGGGGATGGTATCGGTAGCCCCTCCTTTGGATGCAGCGGCCGACTTCCAGCCGCCATCGCCAATGGAAATCATGATGCTGGATATGGGCCGCAAAAAGTTGACCATGGACTGCAACCGCTGCATGGTTTGTGTTGCGAGCGGGGTGGGCGCGCCATCCGCGGGCAGCGTCTGCAGGCTGTTGACTTGGCGCTTGGTCTCCTCGAGCAAGTCGACGAGCGATGATTTGGCCGTTTCCCGGATGGGCTTCAGGGCCGCAGCAAGAGAGCTCTTCAGCTCGCCCGTTCGGTTCTCAAGGTTATTGGACAGACTGGATATGATCTCGACGATCTCATATGCGAGGTAGCAGTCTGTGGTGATATGCGACTTGATGTGGCTGTTCAGTTCCCGAAGGGTCCTGCCCAGCTCCACCAGGGCTGGTTGGCATGTTGCCTGAAAGACAGGGCCCCAGTCCTCCCTCATGAAGATGCTGCAGATGTTGTCGTACTCGGCTAGGAATAGACCCTCCATGGCCTGGGCGTAGGTTCCCATACCGTTGGTGCCCGCCCTGTATACTGCCTCTGGAGTCTTTTTCTTGGCTGTGTTGGTGCTTGCTGTAGCCAGGTTGCCCAAAGTTGATAGCAGGTACTGAGCCCGGACTTCGGCATAGATCTTGATGACGGGCGACTCTTGCGAGCTTCCTGCCCCAGTGTTCTGTTGGTGCACCCCGGTAAGGTACGAGTTCATGAGACCTAGCCTGGTGATCTTTTCTTGGGAGAGCACCGGGAAGGGCATGTTCTTGGTGAGATAGTGTAGAGGCTCGATGGCTCGGGGTGTTTCGCTCCGTAGTAGTTTGTCGAATGAACTCTCGAGTTGGGAATTTCCGGTCTTGACTAGACGCTGAAGGTCGGCGACAGTTTGCTGCGTTGATCGAAGATTGGAAGCCTTCATGTCATTCAATGCCTTGTTCAGGCGCTTGATAGATGCCAGGTAGTTGGGGAGGCCGGCCTTTTCAGGGCCCATGCGGATGATTTGTTCTTCGTCATTCTTACTGTCGGCGGGGGATCGTAATTTTTCGATGGCGGCGATAACGGCGTCGATGTCTACATACAGTAATTCAACGGTCAGCCCCAATCGACGATGAACAAGATACGGGGATGAAGGGCCGGATGACTTGCTGTTGCCCAGAACCTGAAGCTTCTTAGTCTCGCCACTGAGAGGTCCGGCAACATCCCGAACACTCTTGCCGGTGGCATCCAGCCTGGCCAGGCAGGCCTGAATCTTCTTTGTGAGTTGGGATGTCTTTTCGAGGCGCGAGTTAAGGACGTCAACTTCTGCCCGGGCTTCCTCGTCGGCAGCGAGGCGGCCGTTGATGAGGCCGACAGCCATAGTTGCGATGTTGTGGCGCGATCCGAACCAAACTAAGACGCGCTCCGCGCTTCGATCGTCGGTGTGTGGTACGTGGATTCGGACGTCGGCAGCGGGACTCGGACACGGAGGACGGCAGGGTAACGACCTAGGATCGGAAGTCGGGAGTAGTCCGTTGATGTGGCAGCACGGCCCGGTACGTAAGGTAGGTAGGTCATCGTCAGGCCAGGCCTTTGACGCCCAGTTGGCCCCCTGGCGCCCCCTAAACGCTAGGCGCGAGCCGCTCGCTTAGCGGAGGACCCGGACCACCTCCAAGTCCACCAAGCACAGGCAGGGGGACAAACGCCAGGTTGCACCAAACAGTCCGGGGCGAGCAGGCGGGATCCGCCAATCCGCCCCGCTTCCCCCGTGAGCGCGGGGCCGGGCGGGCTGTGCCAAAGCTGCAGCAGTGCCCCACTATCTCGCAGCAGCTCCACTCATTGCACGATACGGACTTCTTCCCGACGGGAACCCCCCACAAGAGAAAGACGGGAGCTGAAGTCCCTTTTTTTTTTCTCTCAATCCTTCCATCCATTCAGCCTTCCAGAAGGACGGGACGCATTGCCAGATCTGAAGAGCTCATGCAACTTTCTCAATCTCCGTTTTCTCTGATGCACTCGCAGCCACACCGAGACGACCTCAGTCGATTTAACAGAAAAACGGCCAACAGACCTAGATAGTCACCGAAGAAACTCGGCCAGTTCAACCCAATTTCAACCTCTACAATAATGTGACGTATCTACAGAGTGGCCAGCCACGATCACTTTACGCACTCCACGATAGTCATGGGTCGTGAATAATCGTCAGATTCGAGCTCCGCATTTCTACAACTACCTCGTCCTCTTTTAGCCATGAAATTGCCTTCGCCCTGAACAGTTCCATCTGTCCCGGATAAGAAAAAGGCGCAAAACCCATCAGTAAACGCCAAAACCAACGTCATGTCCGTCAAGGACCTGAATGCTCCCAAGGACAACATGAACCGCGGGTCTAAATCCACAGAAGAAAACAAAAAAGAAATAGAAACATTATTGAGTCCCGGCCTTTGCTGCGAAATAGTCGGACACAAGCCGGCCTACTGTTGCCGCGATCCACTCGACATCTTCACGCGAGATATTGAAGGCTGGCGAGATGATAATGTGGTCGCCCGTAATTCCATCAACTGATCCGCCGCCTGGATACACGTTGATCCCATACTTGTCGGTCAGCCCCAGCTGACAGATTTCCATGCAAACGTGGTCCTCTGACGGGAAAGGGGCCATATTCTCCTTGTCCGCAACAAACTCGATGCCCCAGAAGAGGCCCCGGCCACGGATATCACCGACGTTCGGATGGCTTGCGAGTATTTCACGCAGCCTGCTCGAGAGAAGATCACCCATTGCGCGGACATTGCTCAAAAGGTTCTCCTCTCGAACAATCCGCTGCACCTCCAAGGCTGCGGCACATGCGGCAGGATGGCCTTGGTATGTGTGACCATGGACGAAGACACTGGTTGGCTTCAGTTAGTATATCGTCACTGTTTGACTCTCGAGGACATAACTCACGAGGAACCCTTTTCGAGTGCATTGACCACCCGGTGACCAGCAAGAAGGCCGGCTACGGGTTGGTAACCGCCCCCGAGGGCCTTCCCGATGGTCTGGATATCAGGTACAATACCCTCCTGCTCCCATGCGTGCAGAGTGCCGCTCCTCCCCATACCACACATCACCTCGTCAAGGATCAAGAGTGCGCCATACTTGTCACACACGTCCCTCACGGCTTGAAAGTAACCCTTGACCGCAGGCACACACCCAAGAGCCTGAAAAGCAACAGTCAGCATTCGCGCACGCTCAACTCCGATCACGTGAAGCAACTTACAGCTCCAACAATGGGCTCAGCAACAAAAGCGCAAACGTTCTCTGGTCCTACTCGCTGAAACTCCTCATCAAGTTCCTTGGCCAGCCTCTCGGCGTATTCCTCATCTGACTCACCAGGGGCTTTGCCGCGGAATGCGTTGCACGGCGACACTCTCGAGACATTCTTGATCAAGAGTGGCTCGAACTTGGCCCGCCGAACCTCGTGGCCTCCCACGGATAGTGCACCAAGAGTGATGCCGTGGTATGACTGCTTCCGAGAAATGAATCGAGTCCGCTGTGGCTGGTCAATCTCGAGGAAGTACTGCCTGGCGAGCTTCACAGCCGCCTCCATTGCCTCGGAGCCTGGCAAGTGTCAGTTGCTGTTGGGGAAAGTTGGGAGGTGATTGTCTTACCTGAGTTGACGATGTAGGCACGCGCCATGGCCCCGTTTGTCGATTGGACCAAATCGCGGCATAGCTCTTCCTGGACCCTGGTGGTGTAGAAAATGGTCGCACAGTACGGTGCGGCAAGTACCTGGTTGGTGACAGCTTGGGCAACTCTCTGGTTGCCCCAGCCAAGGCAACCGACCGCAGCGCCTCCCGAAGCATCAAATATCTTGCGGTCATTCTCGAGGATCAAAAAGTTTCCTTCAGACCTCGTCATGTTAAAAAACGTCGTGTCCAGATGCCTATGAAGAACTGCCGAGTGCTTGGAAGACGCCACGGCATCTGTGGCGTCCACCGTTGGATTGAGTTTGATCAGTACCATGTCGAAAGTATAAGCTTGACTTGGACGTTGGATTGATGAAGTTGTAAAGGACCAAGTGTGTGCGTCTGCAAGTGATGATGGGCACAAAGAGAAGGACATTTGCTCAAAGGCGAACTATCGCTTTATCTATATATACTCAAAGTCCTGCCGACCTTAGTGCTCGAACATCGGCCGATCAAACAGCATGGGCAGTCGGGACCCAGCCCAGCCCAACTCATCAACAACAAGCATCCACTGCATGACGGGTCCAGATATCAGATGGCTCGCGTGAAATGCCGGATACAGCAAGTGCTATTCTCGGTGCGAGCGTTTGCTGCTTGATACCGGACTGCATTCTCAACCAAGCCTTAGCTATGTGGATCAGCGGGTTCTAGCATGATTCGTGGACTTTACCGCGGCACCCCCGGCTAGGTGCCCATCATCCAGCGTACCAAAGTGTATCAGACTACGGCGGATGTAGGTGTTTTCTCGTGGCAAACGAGGGTTTGGGCAGACATAATGTGCATGGAGAGGCGTGTTTGATCCAGCATTGGTCAATCTGGTGCGCCCTATAGCTAACGTTCAAGCCGTGTCAACCTCTCCGCACGAACAAGAATCTTAACCGTTTGCCAATGGCATCACCGTTCCGAAGAAGATGTGTCCAAATCTCGAAGGGTATAAACCACGAGTTATACTTGTACCACGTGTAACAACCGGGCTGCGGTCTTCCGCCTTCAATGACTTTGAGTTGTTGTTGTGGTTGTGTAACAGAAGCTTCATCACTGTTCCCACTAATCATGGCAGAGGCCCCCTATCGTGCCTATCCTCAGAACCTACCTTAGAGCCCCGTTCGGCTTTACAAAAAAAGAGGGGTAGCGGCAACTCGACTCGGCGTCCCGATCTCGGCCAAATGTCGTGCGCGAAACCCTCTGCCGAAGGTGAGAAGACCGGGCATTCTATTTCGTGACACATAATCTAGTGTATGCATTATCTCGACCCAGCTTCAAGAACCAAACGTTGACACTTTACTAAGGTTCCCTAGACTAAGAAAGGAAGCAGCACCGCCTATCCACTGGGTAGACTAGAGATAGTTTAGCGTGTTAAACAAGCCAGGATCAGGCTTGGTGAGAACGGCGTACGTAGTGTATCTCTTATGATTGTCACACGTTTCCGCTTCCGCATTACACTATTCGAAAACGTGTTCTGCCGCTCATCCGAGTCTTTCTCAGCCCAGTCAATTTCACCTGATGTCCATTGGATCAACCTCACCTTTTCGGTTGCCCTATTCGGGCCTGTAGGTTTGCACGGACCATCGGCACGCCCATGTGTCGCCGCTGCCGATGCCTACCTCCTTCAATGGCGCCGACCGAGTGTTCCCAAAATAAGGACGGGGTGCGACTACATACTACAACTGCTAAGTACTACCTACTCTAGTGTATGGTCAAGGCTCCCCCCTAGACCGACACAAGCTTCCTGTGCGCGGACCCGAACTTGATATATTCTACAGAAACTCAAAAATCGCACCTGTTTACCTAGTGCTGAAGATGCTATCCTATGTGCTACGGATGCATTGCAATATCTACGATACTGGCTACCACCCTCACCAAAGCGAAAGTAGCTATGGAATCAGTGATCACTGAACGGATCGACATGGTATTGTGGATCCGGTGGCTGTTGGAAAATCGACTCCATCCCCAATTTTGAACACTGCCGTTCTTCACAGCCCTCGTCCTCGTGGGTTGTGCCTTGCATTAACGGTAGTCAGGCAGCGACCTTCCCCTTCGAGGTACCTCAGTTGTGCGACGAGGCCGCTCGCTTGGTGGTGTGACCGCCAGTGCCGATACCACGGCTATGTGCCTAGGCTGTCATTCGTCGGAGGCGTTGTTGAAGCCATCTAAGCTTGCACCCTTGTGTAACAAGGCTACTTGATATCATAGGACACTAGGTGCCGGATCGTGGTTTGTCTTACTTCAGCCTCCTCGTCTAACTGTGCGCGATACCAGCATATGCAATTGAAACATTGGGCTCTGTTTTCAAGGCTTGCGGATGCTTTTGCACTCAAGATCTTTCCTTCCTTTTCGCAAGGCTCGCAATACCGTCTTATTCTGTCCTGGTGCATTATCCAGATGCGAACCCGGGCACACCAAAAAAAAAAAGCTCTTGAATCTAGGCATCGTTGCTGGAGTAACCAACATTAATTTCTTGGCTGTTACGAACTTTAAGATCGGGTAGAGAACACGGTTACGTCTGACTCTGGAAATACTTGCTGATTACAGAGCAGGAGACATCACGACAGATCTATCACCTCAAAAGAGCGAAAATGTTGATTCTCGACCATTCTTTGAGGGTAGAGCGGGTGAAAGTCATCCCGTGCGTAGCTCCGGACGGTGACTTGCTCATGCAGACGAGATAAACCGCCGCTTACCGCTCCTTCTCCCAATGGCTGTTCGGCATGAGACGGGAACATCAAGCCAGACCTGTTCCGGGTTCAACAGAGGATCAGACGGCTACAAAGGCCGGGAAGCAACCGGACCTAGCCACCCGACAATTCGATTGGAGGACCGGCTGGGCTTGTGGCAGTCCTTCCCACGGCGCCTCACCAAAGTATGAGGCCCTTTCCCGTTTACGGCGGCAGTCACAGCACACTACTGTAACGAACCGCGTCATCCCGAAAGACGATCCAGTCTACCGGGAACCGATTACCGTGTCTACATGATGGAGCTGTACGACATGGACCACAACAGCACAGCTCGTTGACGATAAGGATGGTTTTCGTCCCGCCTTTGAAGAAATCGTACGACCAGAGCCACAGGAGAGAGTCGATGCAGTATGAGGGTAATGGCAAACGGCATAAAGTTGATGACCCTGACTTGCCATAGCCATCTCTGCAAGCGGGTAATGACGGCTCAAGTGAACAGTCGGGAAGTCGAAGCAACAAACACAAAACATTTTACGGTAGAATCCCGATAGTGATGGGCTTTAGTCGGGTACGAAAACCACGGGAAAATCAAGGAACCAAAGGATGCATTCAGCCGTTGCAGTTGTTGAGCGGAACCTCAAACATGACTGCCGTGAGAAGAACGGATGTGGGGCAGTAAACGCCGGCTAGGAGCAATGTCTATCGGACCGGTGAAAGTTGATGTAGCATGTGAACGACGCAGCAGGGGAGACAATGATCATGGGGAGCTCAGGATGGCACACTCTCGCTCGCGCTTGGAGCCGTCGAGAATCATCACCCGACTGGGGTCGGTCTTGCTCGAGTACTTGGACGCTTAGGCTCATAGTAACATTGATACCAGTGAAGCTGCGAAAGCCCTGCGTTGGCTTATGGGTTGGAGAATCCAAAGAGTGGATCAAGTAACATTGAGACACTCACGGCGTCTTTCCCATTTCACACTTGGTAACAATCATTTCGTTTCACCCATCTTGTCCACTTAACAGCACCAAACAGATGTTGTCCTATGGCCATACTTCAACTGCTAACACAAAGCATAGCACAACTACGAAGTATGAACTTGTAATTTAAAGGCTGGGAGGCACACATGTATGCGAGGTACACACGCTAGTGACCAACGACACTACACTACTGAGGTTTCCAGGCCACCTTGAAGTTGCTGTTCTTTCTCTTCTCGTTTTCGGGGCAACACAACATGGGCTTGCTCGCTGAGGATCAAAGGCCATGCGGAGAACCAAAGCCTTGAAGACACTCAGTCGAACCAGACATGGACGCTGGTCAAGTTCAAAAGGCCGAGACGTACAGTTAGAAGAGGTCAAGCATGTGCACATTGACCTGAAATGTACAATCTTCGTGGAGGTTTTGTTATCGATAGCAAATGTAACCTGGAAACTAAGTCTGAAGGGCCGAGGTCTGGTGTAGGTGGTTAGATACTGGAAATTACACGCTTCTTGATGGTAATTGTGGGTAATAACGGTATCAGGTACAGCCCCGCTTGTGTCAATTAAGCCCCCTGTCTGAAGCAAGGGGTTTAGCGCGACTCGCGTGTCGTCGACGCGTTTTCCACTTAAAATCGCATCGTTTCGTTTTGTCACTTTTCCGTGGCGGCTCCGCAAGGCGAAGCGCATGCGCCTAAACAAAACATCGCGACTCTTCCATTCCCCTCCAGCAACCTTTTTGGACGACAAGAACGGAGGCCACAACGACTACCCTTACTCCGCGTCCGAACCCGTGTTACCTTTGTTTCCCGTCTGTGACACTGGCTTGAAGAGTTGTTCTTTGGATTAATACTTTCAAGATGGATTACAACGCCCTCCGCGACGAGGCCGTACGCGACCGCGTGCGCCAGGCCCAGGAGTTCCTTGATCCTCGTACGTCGAAGCTTGACGCTGGCGCTGGCCCTTTGTTTACAGCCGAAGCATGGGACAAAACTAATGGCGAACCTTATCTACAGATGACCAGCATCAGCGAAGCTACAGACCAGACATTGTGTTGATGCTCCAGAAGAACCAAAGGAGACTCGTCGTCAACATCGATCATGTCCGCGATCACAGCTCTGAGATGGCCGAGGGTCTACTTACCGATCCCTTCAACTGGACCCTCGCCTTCAACCATGCGCTCAAGACCATCGTCAGCACCGTCCCCCAGGCCCGCCCCGATCAAATAGACGCCGACGTCTTATACTATTGTGCCTGGGCTGGAAGCTTTGGTCTACACACCTGCAACCCCAGGACACTGTCCTCCCAACACCTCAACAATATGGTCTCGATTGAGGGCATCGTAACAAGGACATCCCTGATCCGCCCCAAGGTTGTCAAGAGTGTACACTACAGCGAAGCCAAGAAGACCTTCCACTACCGCGAGTACCGCGACCAGACCATGACAAACGGCATTGTCACCAACAGCGTCTACCCGCGCGAAGACGAGGAGGGCAACCCGCTCGAGACCGAATACGGCTTTTCGACCTACCGCGATCACCAGACCATTTCCATCCAGGAAATGCCGGAGAGGGCACCTGCTGGTCAGCTGCCCCGAGGCGTCGATGTCATTCTCGACGATGACCTGGTAGACCGCGTCAAGCCTGGCGACCGTATCCAGCTCGTCGGCATTTTCCGGACGTTGGGCAACAGAAACACAAACCACAATAGCGCCCTGTTTAAGACGGTCATTCTCGCCAACAACATCGTCCTGCTTTCCTCCAAGTCGGGTGGTGGGGTGGCTACAGCTACCATTACCGACACCGATATCCGCAATATCAACAAGATTTCCAAGAAGCCAAAAGTTTTCGAGTTGCTTTCGCAGTCACTGGCTCCCAGTATCTACGGACATGATTACATCAAGAAGGCTATCCTGCTTATGCTGCTGGGCGGCATGGAGAAGAACTTGGAGAACGGTACACATTTGAGAGGTGACATCAACATCCTGATGGTCGGTGATCCTTCCACAGCCAAGTCGCAGCTCCTTCGTTTCGTCCTCAACACTGCTCCATTGGCAATCGCCACGACTGGTCGTGGTTCTTCCGGTGTTGGTTTGACTGCTGCTGTCACATCCGATAAGGAGACTGGCGAGCGTCGTCTGGAGGCTGGTGCCATGGTTATGGCTGACCGTGGCGTCGTCTGTATCGATGAGTTCGACAAGATGTCAGACATCGATCGTGTTGCCATCCACGAAGTCATGGAACAGCAAACTGTTACCATTGCCAAGGCCGGTATTCACACCTCCCTTAACGCCCGTTGCAGTGTTATCGCCGCGGCCAACCCTATCTTTGGACAGTACGACACACACAAGGACCCTCACAAGAACATCGCCTTGCCCGACTCCCTCCTGTCGCGTTTCGATCTTCTCTTCGTCGTCACCGACGACATCGAGGACACCCGTGACCGACAGGTATCCGAGCACGTCCTTCGCATGCACCGCTACCGCCAACCCGGCACCGAGGAGGGTGCTCCTGTGCGCGAGAACGCCGGTCAGGCCCTCAACGTCGCCCTCAACGGGCAATCCGAGTCCCAAAAGCCCACCGAGATGTGGGAAAAGTACGATGCCATGCTGCACGCCGGAATCAAGGTACCCAGCGGCCGCGGGTCTGCCAACAAGAAGCCCGAGATCCTTAGTATCCCCTTCATGAAGAAGTATATTCAATACGCCAAGACGCGCATCAAGCCGGTACTGACGCAGGAGGCTTCGGACCGCATTGCTGACATCTACGTCGGCCTGCGCAACGACGACATGGAGGGCAACCAGCGCAAGACGTCGCCCATGACGGTCCGTACGCTCGAGACGCTCATCCGTCTGGCCACCGCCCACGCCAAGGCACGCCTGTCCAACCGCGTCGAGGAGCGCGACGCCGCCGCTGCCGAGTCCATCCTCCGCTTCGCCCTTTTCAAGGAGGTGGTCCAGGACGAGTCGCGCAAGAAGCGCAGAAAGACCCGGCCCGCCGAGGGCGAGGATGGCATGTCCTCCGACTCTGACGACTCTGATGACGATGACGGCGACGTGGCAACTCAAACCACCACAGCCCGCTCCAGCGCTGCCAGAGCTTCTCGCGCTTCCCGCGCTTCCCAACGCGCCAGCCGACGCACTCCCGCCAATGGCGCTTCTTCCTCCTCCGCAAACGCCAACGGCACTCCCGGCGGAGAGGAAGAAGAAACCCAAGGAGCAGAAGAGGAAGAAGACATCTACGACGCCACCCCTCGCCGCTCAACAAGATCTTCTCGCACAACCGGCGACTCACAACCATCCTTCGCCTCTTCCCTTCCCGCCTCGCAACTTCGCTCCACTCGCTCCCAACGATCATCTCGTCGCACCGCTCATAACCAAGATGACGAAGAAGAAGAACTTGCCTCCGGAGCCGCCAACCTCAATGTCGATGAAGACGAAGAAATGGACGTCGACGGCGAAGCTGCCCCAGAAAACCAAGAGGAGGAAGAGGAGGAGGAAGAGGAAGAAGATGAAGAGCCAGCACCAATAAGCGAGCACCGTCTTGACGTTTTCCGTCGGGCGCTCGGTCCGTTGTTGAACTCGGGACTTTTCGAGGACGATGCGGCGGATGTGGATGAGCTGATCAAGGCTGTTAATGAGAAGATCCCTGGAGGCAGGAGAGGTGGTGAACAAAGGTTTGAGAAGGAGGAGGCGCTGCAGGCGCTGAGGGAGATGACGGAACGGAATCAGTTGATGTGAGTTACCCTTCGCTTGATATTGTGAAGTGTGATGATGTCGAGGAATGATGCTAACGCTGTTTGATGATAGGTATACCGATGGTCAGCTAGTGTACAAGATCTAGTCTGGCGGACCGGAAAGGTTAAAAAACCGAGTTGATGCTGTGTTTAGGAAACAGGTAGAAATGATTTTAGGTGGGTCATAGATATGGATGAGAAAAGTACTATGACGGATATGGTTTAGACAGAGAGGCATGCCATAAACAGCCAAGTTTTGTCATTGATAGGCAAAGGAGTTGGGCGTTTTTTCAATTGAAATAGGAACGTCATGAGATGATATAGTTCTTGGAAATGATGACGGGCACTGTCAAGTCGGCATACCTGCGGGATTGAAGATGATTTCACGCTCGCTTCAGAACATGCCATCCACCAATATTCAAACCAGGGCGTGCTATTATGTAAATTGGAGAATATGTGACAACAACGCTCACGATCAAAACCAAACGCCACCTCGCATCAAGCTACTCCCTTTTCCCGACAATCTCGACGAAGCAGCGACCAAACATGAATTAACCACAGTGAGAAACGATCTCGCTGATAAGCTCCTTCTTCTCGGGATCGTAGTACGAGCAGATTTGGGAAGGAAGAGGAAGCTCCTTGGAGTCGTCGTTCTCGTCCACAACCATGATGTTGACGTTGTCCGTCTTGCTCTGGAACACCCTTGTCGAGATGCTCTCCTTGCTCAGCCAGATTGTGGCTTGCTCGACTTGATCCAAAAGCACAGTGGGAATCGTCTCGTTGACCTGGAGCTGGAAGTTCTTGGACCTGACAACGTCGACAGTAGAGACAAGAGTGTCCACAATAAGCGACACCTTGTCGCAGTTGTCGATGTTGACAGCGTTGGCCTTGCCCTTGACGACGATGACGACTTCATTACACCTGCTGATGAGGATGGACTGGGAAATGGAGGCCTCGATCTCGACGTTGCCAGCGGCAGCATCGTAGTTTTCCTAAAGCACTGTCAAAAAAAACTTGAATTTACACCACAAATGTCCGGCTGGAGAACTTACAATAATCCACTTGTTGCCCTCGAGAGCCTTCTTTGCAGGTTTCTTGGCACGCATACTCTCAGGCTTGGGCGGCTTGGTTCCAGGGGGCGCAGGGCTCTTGGACCGTGCCGCTGGTCCGTCGGGAACGGTTGATCCTGCCCTGAGGGAAGGGTTCTTGTGTGTCATCTGCGACTTGTCGACCTTCTTGAGACCCTTTGTAACTGCTTCGCCCTTGTTGAGCTCAGACATGACGGAACTGAAACCACCCGGTTGGGCCGGTTCCGCCTTCTGCTCATTAATCTTGAGCACCGGAGGAGGTCCAGGAGGAGGAGGGGGCGGAGGAGGAGCTCCTCCGGATGGGGCTGGAGACGCGGCAGGTGCCGAGGGAGCGCTGCCGGAGTCAAGACACTGGACGACCTCCTTGTAAGACTTGCCGTTGGGGTTCCACACAATGCCGTTGTTGTAGTAATCCTTGGCATATTCCGACAAGTCTTTGAAGATCTGGTAGAAGGTCTTGACCCATTCTGTATGCTGGGGATCAGTGTTTTTGTTTGCCTGCATGACTCTGTTGCCCAGGTATTCGGCAGATGACAGGCTTTCATCAATGAGCTTGTCAGGCCTAGACTGAACAGTGATCCAAGCGAGGAGCATGATTCCATCGGCCACCATGCCGAGGTGGTTGAAGAAGGGAGAACCGCGGTTCTTGTCCTTGATTTCCTGAGTGGCCTGGATGGCCTCGCTGATAGGTTTGATAGCCTCCTGGAAATCGACCGAGTTCATGTCGAGCTTCTTAGACTGGGAGGCGGCGAGCAGGAACTTGCGCGTCTCGACAAATCCCTTGAGGACACTCGTAGCCTAATTAAAACGGTCAACTTCTCGCTCTCTGCCCACAAAATAGATCCAGAACTGTGCAGGATAGGTACCTGCTCAGCAACCAAGCCACCGATAAGATTGCTGGTCTTGACATATTTCTGAACAGTTTGGTTCAAGAACTCGTCGAACTTCTCGACAGGTTCGGGAATTGGTACTGCGGCAGCGGGTGCCGGAGTGGACACAGCAGTGGACGCGGGGGCGGAGGGGGCGGAGGAAGCCGGCTCAATGACGGCCTGGGAGCCAATAGGGGGGATGGTGGACGAAGCCATATCCTCCAGACGGAGGGTGGCCGCCTCAAGTCTGCGCAAGTACTTAGCAATGTGCCTTGACCACTATTCACTCGTAGTCTTTTTTTTTTTTTTTTTTTTTTTTTTTTTTTTTTTTTTTTTTTTTTTTTCGCTTTGCGCCGATCTTCCTGGCGCATTCCTTACTCGGGGATTGGCTCCTCGTCGTCCTAGCCGCAGAGCGGCTCCCATGGAATCGGCATGGCTAAGGAAGCGCCAGGTAAAATAATGGGCAATGCGGGTGTTGTAGAAGAAAGCAACTATTCGTACGTGTGGCGATATCAAGTTGCGGTAAAGAAAGCTGAAGCGTACCTCTTGATCAAGGTGACCAAGTTGTGCATATTGTTGGTCGCCATTGTGATTATGATGGTCCCTTAGACGGGACTTTGGAAACGTAGTAGGCTTCGCTGTCGAGTTATATAGAAGTTGGAAGGAGCAAGGTGTACTCTGTTATTAGAACTGTCGGTGCCAGCTTGCGGTATTAGCGATCCTGCCTTGATGATGATGTGAAGAGAGTGCCGTGGGTAGACCCGGATACCTCCGGTGGAAGAGGGCTCGTTGAAACAGAGGGAAGGTATCGTCCTGGATATCTTGATGAGAAGCACTTACCCTTTTCGCTGAACCGTATAATTTACAAGAAATAAGAAGATATCGCTAGATGGAGAAAGAGGAAGAAAAGAGTGCCGAAACTTGGACAAGGAGGAGGTCGGGGAAGGTGTAGTTAGGTGCCCCAAGATCTGCTGTGCTGGGACATGGGATGTCTGAAGGTTGACGGTCCGGGCTGACAACTCGTCGATTGGAACCCCTCGTCACACAACCCCTACCTAGCATCTGCCCCTGGCGCCTGCCATGCTTGTACACTACGGGCGGCCACAGTGTACGGGGCACACCTTCTGTAGACGCAGCACGCTAGACGTAGGTGATGAGCTGCTTCCCCACGATAGCTTCATAGTGGGGTCATGGTGGGTCGTCTCATCCATCGTTTAAAATTACGCGTTTCGGGACATCATCCTCCAACAAGAACGAACACCTTGCTGGCCGCTCTCACGACTCTGCACTAGTGTAGACTAGAGTGCACGGCCACTAAAAACCCGCTGGGCGTACAGGCACCATCCACGCCTCATATATGAGTTAGCACCCCACCGAGCATAAACAACAACAACAACTGAAGTCACATCGTGCTACTGCAACTGAATCAACAACAAGCACTCTCTTCGTTCAGAAGCTCGTTGCTTGTTTAGCTGTGTATATACGAGAACAGTCAAGCTGATGCTGAAGATTAGACATGAGTAGGTATCTGCACAAGCAGTCGTTCAAGGCATCAAGGATCGAGATGACAGGATCGATCCCATAAACTCCCGTCCCGCGGGTCCGTTCCCTTTCTCCATTCCTACGCCTCGCAGTGAAAAACCTACCCCAAATAGCTGATTCTAGCTAATAAGATGTCGAGTTATCAAAACATCAGGCTCCTTATGCTTTATGCCGCCTGATGGTCAGGCAGAAATAGCAGACTAGCAATAGAGGTAGCCTAGCCAGTAGCCACATCACTATCTACATTGATACGCGTCCATCTTTCCAATCTTCATCCCTCCATCTGTGTCTCACTCTCATAACCCCTTTCAGTGTCACTCACTTACATAGCCCATTCCCACTTGTTGTCTATCATCGCCTGGCCGTGTGCCGGGTCGTACTCGCATACATTCCTTTCAAGCGTCCCTTACAATTGATTGATCCTACACAATCACCACAGAGAACAATATGGGAGACAATAACGGCAACCCGGAAGTGTCCGGCCAGAGTCCAGACGATGTTGACAAAGCCTCGGACGAGAGCTCAGAATGGCAAGATATCAACGACACTCCCTCAATAATAGACTTTGTCACCCTCGGCATGTTCATCATTGGTAAGTGCCCAGGAACCACAACCAGGCACCAACTAAGCACCCCTTCAGATGAAATCGAATACCCTCCGCCCCGTCCTCCATCAACCAACGTCTTAGGAGGCGCCGGCTCCTACTCCGCCCTCGGCGCCCGCCTCTTCTCTCCAGCTCCGGACCTCTCCCGCACCGTGGGCTGGATCGTGGATCAGGGCTCCGACTTCCCCCAGGCCATCACTGATCTCATCACCGGCTGGTCCACCTCGGCCGTCTTCCGCCATGACCCGACCCGGCTCACCACCCGCGGCTGGAACGGCTACGTCGGCTCCTCGGAGCGCCGCGAATTCAAGTACACCACCCCCAAGAAACGACTAACGGCCGCCGACTTGGTCGGAACCCCCTTGTTGAAGGCTAAAGCTGTGCACATGGTCTGCAGCCCTAACCGCTGCAAAGAGTTGGTGGAGGAGATCATCACCCTTCGCAAGCGCGAAGCCCGACTTGCTGCTGCCGCCTCCAACAAGAACAACAACAATAACGACAACGACGACGATTGCGACGAAGTTGATGACGACACCAACGACCCCAACGCCTACACCCGCCCCTTAATAATCTGGGAACCAGTCCCCGATCTCTGCACCCCCTTTGAGTTACTAAACTGCACCAACGCCCTCCCCCTGGTCGACATCTGCAGCCCCAACCACGCCGAGCTAGCCGGGTTCATGGGCACCGACGGCCTCGACCCGGAAACGGGCGAGATCAGCGTCGAGCAAGTCGAGCGAAACTGCGAACAGCTGCTGGCTAGCATGCCGCTGACGACGTACACGCTGGTGGTCAGGGCCGGGGAGAAGGGGTGCTATGTTGCTAAGAATGGGGGGCGAAGGAGGAAACAGCCACCTATGAAAATTGGAAAGAAGAAGAAGATGAAGGTAGGGCTGGACGCCCGAAACTTCCACGGCGGTCTACAGCACGACACAGACATGATGTCTCTCTTCGCCGGACTTTTGCAAGATATGGAAGACCGGAATAATGAGGATGACCCGTTCGGTCGTTTCGATGTCGAGGAGGGGATCGAGGCCGATTCGGGGATCGAGAGGTGGCTACCCGCTTACCATACGGACGCCACAAAGGTCGTCGATCCCACGGGAGGTGGGAACACGTTCCTGGGTGGGCTGGCGGTGGCGTTGGCGAGGGGAAAGAGCATCGAGGAGGCGTGTGCGTGGGGCAGCGTGGCAGCGAGTTTTGCCATTGAGCAGGTGGGAGTACCGGAGCTGGGGATGGATGTGGAAGGGAGAGAGACGTGGAATGGGGAGAGGGTGAAGGAGAGGTTGAGTGGGTATATGGAGAGGGTTGGATTGTTATGAGAGCTTTTTGTGATGATGATGGAGTTAGAGACGTGACGGCGGGTTGACTCGATCATACCTAACGGCTAGAGAGGTTGTCACAAAGATAATGGGGATACGGGAAAGAGTGGATGGTTATGACCTTTAGGGAACGTATAGACATAGAACGACTATCTGGGTTGGAACTTTCGGAACTTTATAGACCTAACTACCAAGACACACAATGCGCCACGCTCAGCTTTTCGTAACAGTGATATCATGCCTTTGAAAATCGAAAACCCATCATCCCTTGAACTCCAGAACCTGCTAGCTATACGCAGAAAAACCGCTGGAATAATCCATCTTCATCAGGACATCATTCCAACAACGTAATCATTCGTTCATCATCCACAGAAATCATCCTTCTTGAATCCAAGTAGGCATCCAACTTACTATCATGCCCACTAAGCATTGGTAACTGTCAGCCTCTTCTTATCCTGCCTCCCTCCCTCCGTTATATCCTCCGAAAAGCCAAACCCACCAGCCATGCCCTCCTCAGCCACCTTCCCACTGACATGTCTCTGCCTACCTGCTCCTGCTCCGCTATAACTGAAATCGTAGTCATGGCCAGAAGAAACCACCCGGTAATTAGCAGGGTGGCCTGCAAGCAAAGTCGAAGGTATGTCAGAGGTACTAGGATCGTAGGGCTTTGCTCCTCCTCCTCCTCCTCCTCCTCCTCCGCCGCCGGACACGGCAGCAGTAGAAAACAAAGCCTCGGGTTGAATGGAGGAATCGCGGTTCCTCATTGGTTCCTGGCTGTCTGGTTGAAGATGTTGGGTTTTCGGAGGTTGGCGGACTTTTTTGATATTCAACGGGTTCAAATTCAACGGACGAAGAATGGACTCGCGCAAGCGGCTGAAGGGGGTGATCGACCTTTCTGGCCCCAGCTCCGAGTCGATAAGCAGAGTCGGCGAAGAAGGGTTGGAGCGCAAGGGGTTGGGGTGCAGGTCTGCGAGATCAATGTCGTCGTCGTCATGGCTGTTTCGGTAGCCCAATTTGTGGTTGTCTCGGGCTGCTGCCCCGGAACGAGGAGGAGAGTAGGGGCTCTGTTGCAGTTGCAAATGCTGATGATCGTCGTCGGAGTCGTGAGTGTCGTAGTAACTGGTTAGGGCTTCGTAGGCGCGGTTGCCGCGCTTGTTGTTATTGTTGGCGCCGCCGCCGCCGTTCTTTTGGGCCTCCTTCATGGTGCGGTTGCGCTCGTGGGTGCGGTTGAAGAGGGACTCGGTGGTATACCAGGTTTCTTGGAACTTGCCGCCGCGTGGCTTTTGTGACTGTGGGAGTGGTTTGGTTGGGGACATGGAGGTAGGGGAGGCGGTTAACTGCTCGCCCTTGTTGTACGAGGTGTTAGGTCGACTGGAAGCGAAGCTGTCGCGGGGGTTAGCAGCACCCCGGCTGGCGAATGGGACCTGGTCGGAATAGGAGCCGTGATAGGAGGACCGAGGAGGCATAGAACTGCGTGGTGAGTTGCCGGGTGTAATTTGGTATTGGCGGTGTGGGAGGTCTACCGTGACCCGAGACTCGCGCTTGCCAGAAGACCGCTCAGAAAAATCAGAGCTCTGCCTGGTATGCGTGAAGGGTATTGCGCGTGGGCGGACGAGCTCGTCACCGTTGTGAATGCTGGAGTCACGGTGACTACCAGCGACTGTGCCGGGTTGCTTGGCGTCGTCGAGATACGTCGAGATGGAAACGACCGAGGACTTGTTCCTCTTGTGTGCGCGCGAGGTGAGATGATCTTCTAAGGGGTTCATATCCGGCGGCATCTTGCAGATGCGCCAGAACTGGATGGCAAGGAAGATTGAGATACCGATGGAAACCACATGGAGTGCGCCGGTGCCGATCAGTCCGTACTGGACGGCCGGGATGAAGTACTGAAGCACCGACTTGTCGGAAAGAAGGGTACCCCACGTAGCGCCATCCTTGCGGATCGTATACACGCCATATGCATAAACTAGACAAGCGGCGATGTCGACAATAATGACACCAAAATGGTAGGCAGCTGTAGACATTGGCGCCCGCGCACCGGCAGGTCGCCGGAGGTGGTAAATGCCATAACCTGTGTGAAGTGTGGCGACACCAAGCTACATGCGAACTATGGTTAGTATGTTGTCTGTGGTGGACAAGATGACACTTTACATACCGCAATCCTGATGATCAAGCCGGGCACATCTTTCATGTTGTTCAACATGATCATAATCACCAGCAAGCCAGCCGCACCAATGAACTGAAGCAGCCTAAAGGCCAACTGAACCTTCCTCATACTGATGATCCATCTTTTGGACCTAGGGCCCATGGGCCGGAAACTCTTGATAGTGCGCTCTGAAGGAGGGAAGGCACTGGATCAATCGCAACTTATTGTCAGTCACCGGCACTTGAAGTATTTCACGACCGACAGCCACCATTTCTCCCTTGCAGTGAGACCCGGGTATGGAAGACTGCATGGAATTCTTCAGCTACATACTCTGGATGGACATTGAACGAGACAAGCGGGCCGTCCGGCTTTGGTTTGGGCTTGGGCTTGTCGAAGCTTGCTCTTGTAACGGCCTTGGGGTCGAACAGTTTTGGTGGAAGACGATCGTCAACACTGTACCTGACGGGGTCGTAATCGTACAGGAAGGGTTGGCTGGGGCCTCCCATTTTGGCGATGGCGCTGCTGTTGTTTTAGAGGTTGGATGCTGAAAACACCGAGTATTGGAAAGAAATGTGGTTCAGCAATGGAAAGACGAATTACCGGACAATCATTCCGGTTCCATGTGACGACATGTCTGTTGAAGAAATCGGGCTAGCTCAATGGGCCTCAGGGTAGGTTTCTCAAGTCAAAATCCATTCCGTGTCTCCCCCCCACCCTGCAGGAAGAAGTCGACGGAACTTGGCTCGCAGTTTTAGAGGGAGGCTGGAAGCTGAGTGAAACTTATCGGCGCCTTGTTGGCTCGGCAACCGCGCAGGTACGCGCTGCCGGGCGCCCGAATGGGCTTGGATGCCCCCAAAAAACCCCTGTCATCGCCCTGGTACAGACCCCGTTCAGCCCGTATCGTCGTTCGGTGGCTGGATGCGCCAGTCGCAACATGGACCGGATGGAAGCCGCAGCGACCAATGGCTTTTGATCATTTCCATTTCGTGGAACATGGTCGAGGGGGGAGGTTTTGAACTGCGGTAATCATCCATCAGTGTACAGATCTTGGGATACATTGCACAAATGGTGATGAAGGAATGGAGCCTCGTTGACTTGACGGGATTGAAAGAAGGGTGTCCTGGGACCCTGTGCAATGGAGCTGTCAGCGGGGGTGCGCAACTCCGGTCGGTGCCGTGAAATCCGCTAAAGATCTTGACGTTCCCCGGACTTGGAGACCCACAAAACCCGAACTCACGGGCGGTCGAGTCACCTCGTGCCTTCCCGCCGTGCCCGGCTATCCACCAAGATGATCTGCGCTGCAAGACACATGAGCCATTGATGACCAAACAGCTTGGGCTTTGACTCCTAACAGAAGTTCATCCGTCTCGTTACATCATTTGCCAACGAATTTGTCTGAATATTTGAACATGGCTTTTGTCGCGCGGGTCAAGCCCGGGGCACTTAGGTTGCGCGGAAGATGGCCGTCGCAAGTACATGCGCCGCGCCGAATGTACTCTCAGCATCCGGCTCACCATACCACTCCTGAACATCCCCTCCGGGTCGCCGTCATTGGTTCCGGCCCGGCCGGCTTTTATACTACTTACAAGCTTATGGCCAAGATCCAAGGGACAAAGGTGGACATGTACGAGTCTCTACCGGTGCCCTTCGGCCTAGTGAGATTTGGTGTTGCTCCGGATCACCCTGAAGTCAAAGTCTCTCTCCCTGCATCATCGTCTCATACCTGATTTAAAATAGGCAACACACTAACATACCTTCCAGAACTGTCAAGAAAAGTTTGAAGAAGTCGCCTCATCCCCAGATTTCAACTTCATTGGAAATGTCTCCGTCGGCACCAAGTCCGACCACCCCGATGGCCTCACTGTACCTCTCGCCAGTCTCTTCCGGCACTACAACGCCATCATCTTTGCCTACGGCGCCGCTCAGGACCGTAAGCTCGGCATCCCCGGCGAGGACCAGCTAAAGGGCGTCTACTCCGCCCGCGAGTTCGTCGGCTGGTACAACGGCCTTCCCCAGCACGCCAACCTCAACCCGGATCTCACCCAAGGTGAGGAAGCCGTCGTCATCGGCCAAGGCAACGTAGCTTTGGACGTGGCCCGCATGCTCCTCGAGGACGTCGACGTCCTCCGCAAGACCGACATCGCCGCACACGCGCTCGAAACCCTCTCCCAAAGCCGGGTAAAGCGGGTCCACGTCGTCGGCAGAAGAGGGCCTATGCAAGCGGCCTTCACCATCAAGGAGGTCCGCGAACTAATGAAGCTTTCCAACGTGTCCTTCCAGCCCGTCGACACCTCCCTCCTCCCACCCGACCTGAAATCCCTTCCCCGCGCCCCGCGCCGGCTGATGGAGATGCTAGCCAAGGGCACCACGGCCACTTCGCAATCACCCTCTGAAACCTCCAAGTCGTGGTCTCTCGACTTTTGCCTAACTCCCAAGGCCTTCTCCCCTTCTTCTTCTTCCTCTCCCGCATCAACCCAACTAGCATCGACAACCTTTGAACGTACCACCCTCTCACCATCCCCCTTCGACCCCAACGCTTACGCCCTACCCACTGGCGAGACCCTCACCCTCCCTTCGTCGATAGCCTTCCGATCCATCGGGTACAAATCCACCCCTCTGCCCGAGTTCTCAGACATCAACGTCCCCTTTGACGAGCGCCGGGGGATCATCAGCAATGACGGCCGCGGCCGCGTGCAGCACGAGGAGCGCACCCGCGGGGCGGAGATGTCTCACGGTAGTTTTCCCGGGCTGTACTGCGCGGGGTGGGTCAAGACAGGTCCGACGGGAGTGATTGCTTCGACGATGGAGAACGCATTTGCGACGGCCGATGCGATCATTGAGGACTGGGTGAGCAGGACGTCATTTTTAAATTTGGATCGGAAGGTGCATGGATGGGAAGGGGTGAAGAGTGAAGTGCTGAAGAGTGGGGATGACAAGAGGGTGGTTGATTGGCAGGGTTGGAGAAGGATTGATGAGGCGGAGAGGGATCGGGGGAGGGAAACGGGGAGGTCGAGGGAGAAGTTCACGAGGACGGGGGAGATGCTGAACGTTCTTGGGTAAGATA